TTCACAGCAGTTGTGACAACATGCATAAGACATGTTCAAGCTCAAACCAGTCAAAATCCCAACATAGAGTCACACAGTAGGTCACAAAGTTCTTGTTCCCAGCTGAAGAACTACTATTGATTACTGACAAGAGAAGGAGAGTTAGTTTTCTTTAAAGGTGTGGCTCTGGTACCCAAGAGTTGACCACCCAAGAGTATATACCCAGCACTAATTGGACTTAATTTTGTTTAACGAGGGCATTGTTGAAAATACTATGCATTTCAGATGTAAAGGGCCCTGAGATAGAACTTACCTGAAAGCTTCCTCCATGAGGATTAGCTTCCATGGGACCAGAAAACACCATGCAAGAGTCCAAAGGAGAGAAACAATCAACAGACCTACCCAACTATGAACTACAACAATGACCAACATGGCATGATATCCCTAAGAGTGTAGTAACCAAAAGTTCTATAAATGGACTTATGATCCACACAACAAGAAGGAAACCATGCCTGGCACTGGAAACCTAGCCAACTTCCCTGGGCTAGTGAAGTCATGAGCATAATCCATACCTACATTCTAGATGTTTGTCCTTGAACCCACAGATAAGTGTAGTCCTCATTGCTCATCATAGAAACTTCCCTTCCAAATAGCTGAACCATTACAGAAAACCATAATCAATCAAAATGCAGAATTGTGGATCCCAATCCCAATGGATACAGCTACAAAACAATCCCTGCACGTAATACTGATAAGAGGGGACAGGAAGATTCCTTAGAATCAGAGAGTTTGTTTTGAGATTGTGTCTCCTAGGAATATCAAAATCTTCACCTGTAAAGTCTCACCAACACAACTGTCCAAAGATGAGCTGACCACAGACAACAATATACATGCTAACATGGATGGTGAAAGACCATGGGGTCTCAACCTTAGAGGAAGAACTATAGGCAATTAAGGAATGCTGAGAGTCAGAGAAATATTCTTCTCCAGGTTAAGAGTACACCAATTGATTATTCAATACTAAATGGTCAGTCCTGAAAACATACATACAAGTAATTTTACATAGACTGAGAAGATTATATTTAGGAATATATATGTATGTACATATACATATATGCATGTGACAATAATTAATTAAAAATAGGTCATAAATTTGAAAGAGAGCAAAGAGGAGTATATATGGGAGGGCTTGGTGGGAAGAAGAGGAGGGGGAATTATAATCTCAAAACTAAAAGAAATAATTAAAAAGATGAGGGCACAAAGTTAGATGGATATTATATGAGGAATAAATCTTAAAAGAGTTGGAGGATGAAAGTAAATATGATAAAAAATATAATGCATAAAAATATTGAAAAAAAATTATAAAATATAAATGAAATGAAAAAAAAAATATGAGACCGTCAAAGCTGGGGAGACATCTTAGTCAGAAAAGTACTTGCTGTGCAAGATGAGGACCTAAGTTCAGATTCCCCAGGATACATAAAAGTAGCATGTCTGTATTGCCAGTGCTGGGGCAATGGAGACAAGAGAATCCCTTGGGGGAGAATCCCTGGTAGGGAAGCCTACCAGTCGAGCCAATCAGTGAGTTCCAAGTTCAGTGAGAGACCCTGTCTCAAAAAAAAATATGGAAAGTGATTCAGAAAGACACACATCAACCTTGTCTTCCACATACAAGGATACACACATGTGTGCACAAACCAACACATACACAAATACATACATATGTACATACACATGTGTGCACAAACACACACACACACAAAGAAGACTTCTCAGTTCTCCACTGATTGACAGTCTGTAATATTCATATATCCTCATGGTGACCGTATTTACATACTTTGATTACTATCTAAATATATTGTTTATAAAACAATTTCTTTCTGTTATGCATCATTCACAGTTTAAAAGTTAAATCTTTCCAGTGGCATACCCACTACATAAAAGAATTACTAAAAGTGATGGTATCTTTATCTTCTTGATCATATTATAATTTCCACATTAAATGTAGATTATATAGTAGTCAAATATTATTGAACTGTGTTCTGTATATTCTAGATCACTCACATAAAATTATTCCACAAATACACAGTGAAGGTATGCACATATTAAATCATCACCCCATGTTATACCTACTGTTGTAGCTTGCATCCAGTTATAGCACAATAACAAAATCTTTGCTTCCAGAGACTACACATGACTAAAACTGGAGCAACAGAAGCAAACACCCATAAGGTAGAATTCGGCTCAATGAAAATCTCCAAAGGCCGAAGGGCAAGAAGGCAAGCTGACCCTGCAAGAACCCCATAGCTGGTTGTCCAGCCCTCTTTAGAGCTTTTGTAACTTAGTGTATGGCACTTGGCTAAAGACTTTAGAAGAGCATGTAGGGAAATGTAATATTCTAGTAGAAAAATATGCTAATGAAAATTTATGGGGGCCTTATGCATATTCATCATCTAATTCTGAAAGATAGGTGCCGGGAAGTCTCGATTAACCTCATTACAGAGATGAAATTGGTTCTGCTTATGGCAATCGGATCACATGAACTCAAGTCAAGAACTTGTTATACGACCTCATTCATTAATTATCACAAGGGATCTGTCAATAATAAAAAGAAATTAACAGCAGACATATGGTAGAGTTTTCATGGGCAGAAACAGAAAGTGGCAGATAACAAGATCAGGAGGGCTCAGAGCACTCCAGACTCTCTGATAGCATCTGCATATTGGCCCAGGATGTGTCATTGGCACAGAGTGGCTGAGTGTGAGCATGTATGGAGTGCAGCCAGACCACAGGAACACCTCTCTCTCTTCTTTAAACTTTAATAAGGAGCTCCTGTATTACAACTTTGCCAGATGGCCTCCGAGGTACTTTATATCTTGTTTTGTTTGGAAGAATCTTATCTAGTGACAGAATTATTGCCATTTGCCTGACAGATGTTTCTTTAAAAAAAAAATGTAAGTTGAATTGATTCACCATAGCAGGAGAAAATAAAGAGAAGCTCCATTTTTTAATGGAATGTCATTTTTATTGAGCTCATTTAAGTAACAGCTCTGTTAGTCGCTGAACATGCTTCCTGTAAGATAAGCACAAAAACATACCAATACCCAATGTCTTTATGATCAGGATTGTCGCTACCTGAATTCAACTATAGGTGGCTTGTCTGAATTTGTTTTGTTTTGATGTTGTTAGAAATGTTTGCTTCAAGAAACATTTCTTTAAAAACTCAAAACCATGATCTGTATGTGTAGCTATATGATAGACAAAAGAGCCCCACAAGAGCCTGAAAGTTGTCACCCAGCTAGCCAAAACTTTAGCCCATGAAGCCCCAGGCCTACTGTATTACACCTTTCTCTGAAGATGTTTTTAGCCTTCTTTCCCACCCCAGCAGCAGGCAGAGCCCAGCACTGTGCTGGGTTCACACATGTGAGTGGATGGGCACTGGCTCTGAGCTGGGCACCTTTGAACATTGTGACATGGTGTTCCATCTACAAAGGTCATGCTGAGAATCAGGAATAGTGTGTCCTTGCACATGCACACACAGTGTTTTGAGTCCATTTATAGTATACTGGTATGTATTCAGAGCTGTCTTTGGCTCCATGCCAAGCACTGGTAGAATGTTCATCTTCCATTCTTAACTAATCAGAGAGACTTCTGCTGCTTAGAGTTGAATTAGTCCGGTTACAGCGACATAAGTCCCAGCGCTGCTGCTAAGTCAGCAGAAAATCATCCCAGAAAGGCTCCACCAGCTGAAGCTTAACTCATTTCTTTTGTATCTTCTCCCTGTGATATTTACATACAGATATAAATCTCTCCCAGATTCCAGGGTCCTACTCCAAATCTCATACCAATGCACACATAATACCCACAGGCCACCTATTATGAATGTATGAAAGAAAGAGGAGAGAAAGAGGTAGACGCGACAGGAGGCAAGAGTTCTAGGTGAAGTGAGCCGATCAAAACCCGTGTCAGGTCCTCAGGTCACTGCACTCTGCTGTGATCATGCTCTCCCTTCCCTTGACTGACAGGAAAGGGCACTTCAGCATGCTCACACTATCCCATTCCTCACAGACCTCTACTCAGCCTCTCTGAATTTTCCAAGAGCCACCAAAGATGTAGCTGGTTTTTGTTAGTTTGTTTTGATTTGATTTTTTTATTTTATTTTGTTTTGTTTTTGATAACATAACAAGATGCCCAAGGTAGTTTGATCAAACAGCATGAAGTCAAAACAAATATTATTCAAAAATCACTCTTTTATACTGATATGTGTATTAGTTACTTTTCCCTTTGTTGTGACAAAACACCTGACAAAAATAATTTAAGGAAGGTTGGATTTCCAGCCTGAGATTTTTGGATCACAGTCTTTTGTGGACAGAAGGGTTAATAAGTTGCTCATCACATGGTAATCAGGAAGCACAGAGGCTTGCATAGTTGTACTCAGATCACAATTTTTTTTATCTAGTCTGGCATCCCAGCCAAGGGTCAGGTACCATTTGCATTCTATGTGGTTACTACCTCCTGAGTTTGACCTTTCTGAAACCACAATCATAGACACACCCATATGTGTGTCTCTATGGTGATTCTGGGTCCAATCAAGTTGACTATTAAGATTAACCAATGAGGTATGCTACGATAATACATTATGTGTGCAGACAAAACTCAGAAAAGTTTGCACTCTGAAACCCTGTACAGGTGTGTTTGAGAGGAGATAATTAAGACCCACCACTCTTAGCGATAGCAAAAAATATTACTTACTTTTTCTATATATGTGATGTGAGATTGTTATAGCAAACCAACACATTCATAATTAGATTTAATTGGCAAGTAATTTATAGGTGAGTGACTAAGGAAAACTTTGTCTGGGATCCCCAAACATTACTCTAATAAGTGTGCAATCTCTCTAGCCTTAGGAGGCATTAGATTGAATATATAAGTGAGCCACCATGTTTGTCCCACAGATAATATTAAGTTGTCTGCTATCCTCTTAGCTATTTTCTTCATGACAGCTGTCTTGCTCTTCACAGTGTTCCTATATTCCGAAGTGTGGAAACAACTTTGAAGAGTCTATGTCCCTGGTGAGTGTCGTCATGGAAAACTTCAGGAGACACCAGAATTTCCCTTGCTATTCTGACCCAGAAGGAAACCAGAAGAGTGTCATCCTGACCAAACTCTATAGCTCCAATGTGCTGTTCCATTCTCTCTTCTGGCCGACATGTATGATGGCTGGGGGCGTGGCAATTGTTGCCATGGTGAAACTCACTCAGTACCTCTCTCTGCTCTGTGAGAGAATCCAACGGATCAATAGATAAAAGGAAAAAAATCATGGATAAGATATTTTTCTTTAAAGCTCAAATACTGTTTTCTTTCATTCTTCACCAAAGAACCTTAAGTTTTGAATGTGCAGTCTGTTATGGGTTCCTTAATGTATTATTCTAAGTAGAGCAATAACACAAATGCTGTCCTATATGCAAACATGATGTCCTTATTATTCAGGAGAATTAACTGTTCTTTGTCAGTAAGTTGTTTCATTATCTTGTTTTGAGGCTGGAACTAATCCATCATTCCCTTTCCACCAGAATAGGACTCAACTACTCATGGCTAAGTCTTGTGGGGGAATGGAGGCACTGTCCTGTGACAAGGTCTGTGTTCTGTTTTTCCAGACCTCTTGAAGACCAGATTTTTCTTCATTTGCTGTTTACTAAAGCTACAGCCAAAAACATGTTTTTCTTTTCTTATTCTACATTGAGCCCTGTAGCAAGTGAAGGGGTGATTTCTGACTAAAGTATATTAAACATTGTGTGTGTGCGTGTCTTTTTACCATAGTGCTGTAATGAAGAGAGGAAGCCAGATAGTTTTCTTTCATTAATTTTTATTCACAACTTCCAGTTTTTTAAAATGATCTCCAGTTCTATGTCTTCCAAACAGAGCCCTTTTCCATCTATGACCCTGCTACTGTGTAGGAGACGATGCTGGTGAGTTCATTCCAGATGAACTGTCTGGGGGGTAGGAAGGTATTCCATTGCAATGGGAAAATGCCTATGTTGCAAAGATACTTATGTGAAATCTTAACTCCACTTCCACTGGACAAATGCTAAAGACTGGTGAGTTAGCAGCAATGGGTGAGTTTGTTGTGGCAAATTATCATGTTGGGATATTACTCTGTGGGAATTTGTTTCAGTGAATGAACGTTCAGTCTCTCCTGAAAAATGTTGCCTGTTGGGATTTTAAAGCTATGTATGCAGAATCTTTGTCTCCTCTACATATTTTATTTTTCTATTCACTATTCCCTTTTTGTTGTTATATTTTATATGCAGAATAGACTTTTTCCTAACACATGTTTGAATTGAATAACAAGTTTAAGGGAAGCCTTTCTTCACATTGATGTTTACTCATTCTATTTGTCAGGGGGATAAGGGGTTGGTTTTAAATAAAGACATTTCATCCTTTATTTAATATCAATATCTAAAGGAGAAGACAAACATCTATCTTTCTCATCTATATTTAAGTACCCTTTTGTAACATAGTATTGATGTTTTTTAGGTAATTGCAAAATTTTACAAATCATTTGTGGAATGAACAGTGAAACTAATCTGAGAAAGCAGAATGCTGTAATTCATAGTCTGACTTTTCATAAGCAAATAAATTCCTAGGATGTAATCAGGACTTCAAATGTGTAATTAAAATTTTTTAAAACCCATTCTATCACAAGATTTGAATACTTCTTGCATTTAGAACAGACATACATGTGGCAGTCCCTGCAATTCCAATTACTGTATTTGAAGATATCTTCAGAGACCGTAAGGAAAATCCCCTTTTCTCACAGCTAAACAATACATGTAATGTTGTAACATTTGGAAGACACCACAGAAAATTACTTTTATTCTTTCTTAAAAATTATTTTTCAAGATGGGAGGGGTGAAACATACATGATGACACTATGAGGTGTATTTTTTCTTATCTTATTTAGATTGTTTTCACTAAAAGTTCCCAACTGAGGCCTGGGACTGATTCTTAAAAGTAAAGCACTGGCCTCATATGCATGATACTCTAGGTTCAACTCTCAATGCTGAAAGAAGGAAAGAAATTTCCCAACTGTTGGCTTAGATAAGAATGTAGAAAAGCTCAAAAACAAATGGCATCAAAAAATGTCAACTAGGAACTTCATGGATGTCAATCCAGCAACAACACCTGTAAACTACCATAGGTGAAACACAACTAGATGTTTGCTCTCAGAGAGGAAGACCCAGAACTAATAACAAGTTAGATGCCTTGCACATGTTAACTAATTTGCTCTTCATAACCTTTCTATTGGAGGTCCATCAGTCCCTCCTGATTATAGTAATCATGAAAAGCAAAGACTCCTTGTGTACTAATGCGTGGTAAATAAGAATCTGGGAAACGATAAGCTGATGGATGTTTATTCGGGGAGAAATCAAACCAGAAACAGACAACCACCAGCAGGTTCCTGTACCAAGGATGCCTCCGGATTCTTTCTGTCTCAGGAAGTAAGAGAGAGCACTGGGGTCTGCAACCCCAGACCTAGTCTCTCAAGGCCATGCTTGCACCTGTCCCCATGCCCCAATGGGCGTGGTCAGTGCAACAGGTGCAGGTGGGGTGGATATCTCACTACAGTATAGTTTTCCCATTACCATGGTTTTGACATCTTTTAAATTAACCCAGAGGAATTCTGAGGTCCACAAGGGATTGTAGAAGTGACAAAGAAAGAGAATTCAATGGGAAGATTTTGATCAAGAGATGATGAGGAAGTAGCTACTAAGAAAGTCAGTTATCCTCTTGGCTGTAAATTTAGATGTCAGACCATCAAACACATAGGGACCCTTCTAACACTAGATTTCTAATGGCCAGTGAGTTGGATCAGCAGGTAAAACCACTTGCCAGCCAGCCTGAAGACCTGGAACCTACATGGTGAAGGAATGAAATCTACTCCACAAGCTTTTATGTGACATACACACAAGAACATCATAGCATGTGCATACACACACACACACACACACACACACACACACACACACACTTTGTGCACACATAAAATAAATAAATAAATTTTGTGCTATGTGTATGTAAAGAAGACCAACACTGACCTTCAGGGGACATTCTGATACTCAAATAGAATCTATGCATATTAATCTATGGGTTAAGAGAATTAAAGCCCCCCTCTGGTACTACCAATAAGCAACTTATCTCTTTAGAACTCAGAACATTATTTACATTGGCAACAGCAGATCACAGTCTCCCCATTATTCAAAAAGAATGATTTTCCCAAATGTTACAAATGTCTATGTGTCCAAATCACTTTCATTATCCAATTGGCACATCCCATCTAAAACTTTATTGATTTCAGATTGCCTGAGTTGCAATTGTATTAAAACCCAGAAATGATAAATGTATCAATGACTGCTTGCAAATAGCTATAATAAAAAGATATGGTTCCGTGGAAACCTACCAGCAAAGTACCAGCTGATGCTAATGTGTGGGCATCATAAATACCTCTATGTAGGCTGGGTGACAGCCAGAGTTCCAGCATGCTATCCTTCTCCCGTTGCTGCAAATGACCAAAGAATACTTACACATGACATTTATAAAACAAATGTTGTTTCCACAATGTTGGGCTATAAACAGCTCACTGTAATCCTGTGGGTAAAACATGTTGACTGTAATTGTTATGTTGACATTAACAGAGAGAAAAGTGAGATGAGCAATTGACTGAACTGAGTTTAGACAATAACTTTAACAACAAGTATAGGTGCAATGTTCACTTCCCCACAAAAACAAGCAACTGAAAAATGTTGCAGAAGGTCTTGCTAACTCTCACCATCCTGGTGAGAAAGCAAGCACGATTAAAGGTTGAATGCCATTCCTTTTCTTAAACTCCAGGTTGTTTTATTCATTTATTTATTATTTTAACCATATGGGTGTTTTTCTTCTTTGTGTGTCTGTGTGCCTTATATGTACTCAGTACCTGAGGAAGTAAGAGGAAGGAGTCAAATCCCCTGGGACTGGATTACAGATGGTTGTGAGCTGCTATGTGGGTGCTGGAAATTGAACCTGGTGAGGAAAGGAGTATGGAAGGAAGAGACTTCTCCCAGCTCTTAGATTTTTACACATCAAAAAATTTAACAAAGTCCTTTCTTTTGAACATTTATTGTCACAATTAAATCAGGAGGAAGCATTACCTTCTAAGCATCACCTACCCCTTGCAACACCACGGTTGGTTAAGCATCCAAACTTCTCTATGATACCCCTGATTTTTTTTTAAATTTAACTTCTTTATTGATTCTTTGGGAGTTTCACATCATGCATTCCAATTCTGCTCACCTCCCAGTCCTCCCATATCCATCCTTCAGCCATGCAGAACACCCCACAAAAGAAAACAAAACATATAAGCAAATAAAAACAATAACAAAATGCAAAAAAAACATCTCTTTACTCCTCCTTCTCTCCTGCCTCTCCAACACCTCTTCATTCCTCTGTGGCATTGGGAGTTCTGTGTCATATAGGACATCCTTTAGTTTTATCAGCTTTGTTAGCAAATATTTATTGCAGCGAGTCACTTGTTCAAGGTCTCTGATTTCTGGTGCACCATCATCAATGGATCCTTATAGGGACTCCTCTGGGATATCCCAAGGCTGCCTGGAGTCATAGAGATCATGCAAACCACAAGTTCCACAGGACCAGTTCCTTCATAAGCTCCAGCAGGTCCTAGATAGGGTAGATGCTAGGTTGGGCCTGCCCAAGGTCAGGCTGTGGCCAGCTTGGTAACTGAGCTGGTCAGAGGGTAGAGTCAGTTCACCTATCCCCATGTCTTCACGATCAGTTCACCCTGGTGAAGGGAGGGGTGGAGCCCTCTCTCCTGTGCAGGGCCAGCTCTCCATGAGGGTGTGAGCCAACTCTCTTGCTGCAGTGTCCAGTGAGAGGCAAGGCCAGCTTTCCCAGGGCCAGTCAAGAGTGGGGCAGGCTCAGCATGGCCCTCTGATTTCATTTCTCTTGGTTACTAAGGCCCCCTGAGGTGACATGGTCCACAGACATGGAACTGGACCATGAACCCAGACATAATCCTCCAAAGCAACTTGGGCCTGAACAACATCCTGGCTCTGAGTGGAAGCACAGGCCTCTCAGGTCAGGGTAGTTCTGCAGCAGCATTGCCCCTGGGTGCCATCAAGGCCTCAGGCTGTGGCTCCAATCGTAGGCTTCTATGTGATCTTTGGTGACAATATGGGACTCAGACTTTAGCACATACCCCAACTGCAATAAGGTGTGTGTGTGTGTGTGTGTGTGTGTGTGTGTGTGTGTGTTGCTGTTGTTTTAAACAAATCTTTTACTTGTTTGTTTTTGTGTGAATGGGTGTTGTGTCCCTTGGAAATGGAATTACAGGCAGTTGAGTTGCCAAGTGGCTTCTGAGAATTGAACCCTGGTCCTCTGGAATAGCAGTCAACACTCTTAACAACTGAGCCATCTCTCCAGGCCCCCAAACCCTTGATTTTTACCTGTCCTAATTCAGCGTCCTCCTGTCAGTCATCAGATCTCAGCCCTTTCATTCAAATTGTAGAATTTCCTTCCAGACAGCTGTACTACCAGAATGAACTCCTCATGGTGAGCCAACACCGCAGGCCTTCCCTGTGCAGCATCCTGTCTGCCATCCTGCATGGTACAAGTCTCATTCTGCAGCCACCAACAGTGTATGTCACTGACCAAGAGTGGCCAGCTGTGACAGCTGACATCCAGTTGTACTGAGAAGTCAGGGACTTCAAACAGAGGACTCAAGATGTGTGCAAAATC